CAGGAACAGCTCGGAGCCCTCAGCAGGCACCGTGCAGCAGAGCACTCCCACCCTGTGCAGCATCTCTTAACAGCAGGCAGGGTCAAGGCAGACTGAGATTCCCATACTCTGCTCCCTCTAGCTGCATCCAACAGGGCAAGGGCAAGCCCAAGGGCATCCCGTCCCTGCACACTGCGCTCCCTCCTCCCCAGCCATGCAGGGGGTGAGGTAGATGAGGGGCCTGGCGTCTGGCCAGCACTTGAGCAAGTTGCAGCTTTGACTCAGGCACAAGCCAGAGGTATCTCCAACATCTATCTTGTGCTCTCCACCACGGGACTTCCTGCCTCGTCTCCACCTTCCAGCAATCCCTGTCTTCCTCCTTTCACAGGGTCTTGAGAGCGAGGATTGGAAATACCTGGTTGCAAAGGCTCCGCCGCCTCGGTGCTGAATGTGGGCAGCTCTGGAATAGCGCTGCTGGGGGCAGACGGTGCGATGCCGGGGCCCAGATCGGCACTGTACATGAGGTCTGCAGCAATGCCGGGCAGGTCTGGCAGGTAGGATGGCACGTCGATCTCAGGGACCTGGCCCAGATCTGGCACGTAGAAGTAATTTTCAGCTACCTAAAGGAAACCCAGAACAAAAAGATAAGGTGGTGACTACGCATGTGCTTTTTCCCTTGCAGCAGGGGGAACTGCAGGGACCAGCCTGGGTGTCAGTCAGAGCTGGGCTTGTGTGCCTTCGTACAGTGGCCACTCACCAGCTGCCCCTACTACTCGGTGCTTTGCTCCTGTGGCAGCTCCCTGTGCTTGGAAGCTATCCCCTGCAGACCATGCTTGGAAAAGGCAGGCTGCAGGAGGAGGAAGAGGTGCAGGACTCCTTCCTAGCTTCTTGCAAGTGGACTCTATCCTCTCCCACAGTTCTCAGGCACCAACTTTTGCAGCCTACACAGGGCAGTCCCTTCTTCAGAAGAGAATGGTACCCGAACAGTTTTGGAGATTAAGAGGCAGGAGAAGCCCAACCAAGTAGTCAGAGGTTTAGTTTTGTGCTTCACACAGAGGCAAAACAGTACCAAAGGTGCACTGTGAATCAAGGGCTTTGTTTGCTGTACACACTGCTGTCACCTCCACTACAACGTGATGAGCAAAAGGCTCTCAAGGCTCCTTTCCCCAGCCCCACACCACACATCTAACCATGTACCAGCAAAGCTCCAGGTATAGCCTGGGGGTGCGGGGGCAAGGTCAGTCACCTGCTGGGACAGCTGGGTTGGTGCACTGCCTGCCCCGTGCCCACACCAAGCACAAACCCTTTGCTGGCTGGGCCTTCTGTGTGCACCAGCAGGTGCACCTTCCCAGCAGGAACGATGCGGCACAGACCTCCTCCCAGGCACCTTTCAGCCATGGCACCTCATCTTCACAGAATCATAGAATCATAGAATCATGCCCATAGGTGGGCAGGGACACCTTCCACTAGACCAGGTTGCTCAAAGCCACATCCAGCCTGGCCTTGAAGACATCCAGGGATGGGGCATCCACAACATCTCTGGGCAACCTGTTCCAGTGCCTCACCATCTTCATACTCCTCACAAGGCTCAGGAGTTAGCACAAGGGGAATTACCCAGTGATAGAGCCCCCAGAATCCTCTAGAGCCCTGAGGTCTCGCAGCAAGGTGAATCGATAGTATATTACTCTTCACACACCACCCAGCGATGGCTTGAACAGAGACAGGTTTGAGGGGTTTGTCATCCAGGACTTCAAGCTCAAAAATGAGCAAGGTCCTTCTGCTAAGAGACACGCTGCAGCCCCATGAGGGGCCATTCTCCTACCTGATCTCCACCCTACAGAAGCCCTCTCCTCTCAGAGCTAAGCACAATCCCCTGAGGGGCAGCAGCTGTGTCTCACCTGTCGGTCCAGCTGTCCCCTCTTGGTGATCGAGAGCGGAGCATCGAAGAGCTTCTCTTCCGTCTCTGTTTCCAGAGCCACATGGGTTTTGGTCACTGCTCCAGCCAAAGGATCCAGGAAAACATACTTCTTGTACCTAAGGGTAGAGGACAAGTATTTCCATGGTGCCACCCTGAGTCAAGGCCAGAAGAAACAGTGGTCCCAAGAAGGCCTTGGAGATGGAGAACTCCAGACTCACTCATGGAACATGTTAGACCTTCCAGTTCCCTCCTTCTAGCACCCTTTTCCTGCCTTTCCCCTACACAAGCAGGAGTCAATCAGCTCCCACACTGCCAGTGCAGCCTCCACATTCACCCTAAAGCAAAGCTCCACTGCACTGCCACCATCCCCAAGCTTGTCCCTTCCCACCACCTGGCCTGAGACTGTCCTACAACCTGCAGCAGGACAAGAGTCTCTCCTGGTGACCTGTTACTCAAGGGGTAAGAGGAAATATAGAGGGAAAATAATCTGTGGCTCAGGAGAAGAAAGTGGAGATCCAGCAGCTGAAAGTCAAGAAAGGCTTCAAAAGGCTCCTCGGTATGGGCAGAAGGAGGAAGCATGAGACAAAGCCTCATGAGGAAAGGGACTGCAGTGAGAGGCAGGAGACATTAAAGCAGCAACAGCGCAGAGTGTTGCTGTGAGGAACCGTGGGGAGAAGGAGCAGAACCTAGGCAGGCACATGGGGCAGAGAAGTGCAGGAGTGACAGCAGCTCTCAAGGCCAGAGGGGAATTATTACAGGGGTGTGACAAGAATAACCTAGGTCAGGGAAGTGCAAGGTTGGGCTGAAAGCAGGTGATTGGAGGATCAGGTGCAGATAAAACAAATCCTTCCACCCAAGGGGAAGAGCCGGGAAGGAAGAGTTGCTAGCTGGAAGGCAGTGGAGAGGTACCAAACCCTGTCCTGTCAGGAGCCTGTCCTGTCAGACCCGCAGGAAAGCAGTGACTGCTGCCCCTGGGGAAGGGAAAGTTCCTCTGAGGGCAGCAGGGGCAGGTGAACAGCACAGCCCTGCTCCAGATCTCACAGGTTCTCGGTGGTGTTGAAGAGCAGCAGGGAGCTGAGGGAGCTGATGTTCCGGGGGAGGCTGCCAAGGCCTTCCTCTGCATCATCCTCCTGGTGAACTCTGGTGCTCACACACACAGGAAAGTACTTGAGCTTCTCCTGCAAGAAGACAAATCACATGTAGTAAGACACTAAACCCACAGCTGCTGAGACAGCTCTCCCCAGCCACCACGACCCACGCCGCTGGATCCACCACACGGTCCGAGAACCTTACTGCTCCCTCTCACCTCACTTTGAGCAAGGAAGCACATGGACAACACTGCAACCCCACACCTGTGACAAACAGCAGTTCAGACTCATGGAATGTGCTTTTGGTGCTGTGGGAGGGTCATGCTGAACAGGTCTTGCTCTGGCAAAGACCCACCAAAATAAAACCACTACTCTGGCTCTACAGCCAGAGGCGGGGATCGCGCACCACAGCCTAAAAGGCATTTGTTATGGTGTCTCCAAGTAATAGGCACTTTCATGCAGGCAGAGTCCCCCAAACATCTCTATCACCTATCTCTATCTCTGCTGCCTTCGGTGGATGTTTTAAGAGATGTGATCCCACCGGTGGGGTACGCAGGGAAGGCAAAGGAAAAAGAGGTTGGGAAAACGGGAAAACCAGAATGCCTGCACTAGGCAAGAGATCAGGCAGAAGGGAGTGCGCAGGGTGGAACGTGTGCCAGATGGTTTTGCAAAGCCTGAGGGATTTGCAGGAGTTTTCAACTCTAATGAACTGAAATCTCCTCTCTCTCGCTTCTAAAACTTCATGCATAATATATAGAGCTCCCTTTAGAAAAGGACTTATTGCATCTGAACTGCTTGACTTTTATATAGAGCAGCAATTGCCATCCCAGATCAGACCAGCGTTCCAGCCAGCGTGACAGCGCCCACTGCCAGATGCTGGAGGGGGGATGAAGCTCACACTTGGCTGCAGAGGGAAGAAAGGCATCAGTTCCTGCACCCAGAGACAGCCTGGGATGGACAAACCTCCACCCCTGGCCCCTCCCCACACTTTTCCTCAGCCCCTTCACATCTCCTGTTCTTTCTTCACAAACTAGGACAAGCAGCAGCCTGGCAGCTGTGAGGTGCTAAGCGTTCATACCGGTAAGTGTTCATACCAGGTAAGTGTTCACACCAGAAGAAACCAGAGCACTAACCAGGACAGTTTGTCACGACCACTTCAAACACAGCTCCGCACTGCCTCGCTACGTCCAGCATCCCTGCTCCATCCCATTCTCCGAGTCCTTCCTCCCTCCCTGTACTTGTACGTGGAAATGGAGACCACCGTCGGTTGAGTTTTAAGATATCTCAGCACCATAAACAGTTTCTGCTGATTGAAATTTCAGGCTTGAATTTGGTAGCCAGAAATCCTGGGAAAAGGCTTAGTCACGGCTCAGTTAATCCACTAAGAGTTTGTATGATGCTCTGAGTCTATAAAAAGCTGTAAGAAAAGACCTGGGAGGTTTTGATTTAAATGTGTTTTCCCCCCAAATAACACATTCCAACTTGTGAAAAATATACTGAAATAAACATCTTGAATTTTTACAGCAGCAAGTAGGCAAAAATATATAAATTGATATTTAGAGACCACAGAAGCAGAGATTCAGAAATAAAGGTTCTTTTGATCATTAATATTCATTTCCCAATGTTTAATTTTTTAAGCATGAGGAAGTACTGACGTTTTTGCTAGAACTGTTCACACACACTTAGCCCTCAAGTCATATATATATTTTTCTAATTTTCTCTTTGTAGATTTCAATTAGCACTGGAAGACTGTGCGTCACTTTAAGGGCGGAGTGAGAAACCAACCATTACCTACGTTTACTTTCAAGTCTCATCTAAGGCAGTTATAAAAGCACTAAGCGTGAGCATTACTCTGAAACAGGAGGCTCTACGTAACCCTTTTAATTTAAATGCCACCACAGTGACTAGATCTGTTTTGAAATTTAGAACAGCTACCTACTGTCAATAACATCCTGCAACTGTGAATTCCACAAGTTAAGCTGCCCTTTAAAAATGAGATTTCTTATAGGGACATTAAGGCCTCAAAGCTGAAGGTTCAGCAACCCTGACGTACTGAATGCTCAAACACTCCGGCCTGGGGTTTGGCACCTGGCCGGATCACACCCCTAAGGATGCTGCATTTCCAGGCATTTTATTCCCTAACAGCCTACAGCTAAAAATACATAGTCACTCTGGTTCTTAAGTTTGATTAAGCACACGCTCTTACAAAGGCAGAGCGGGGTTTCTGGGTTCATACACCAGAAACCCCGCTCCCCTCGTGCCGGTGGTGCGCAGAGGCTACCTGGGAAAGCACCTGAAGGTGAGCAAGTGCCAGCAACCCAGTTCAGGCTCTTCATGCCCGTGGGGGAGGCAGAATTCACACGGACGTGCCCAGGTACTGACAATTCTGCAGCCTTGCAAAGCTAGTCCAGCAGTGGGCTGTAACTTTCGCTTGGACCTCTTCCCAAGCCCGGGCAGACCATATCTCCCACCTCATTTTCCAGCCTCCTGAGGAGCACGTGCAGGACCTGAACACAGGTCCCACCGCAAAGGCAGCGCTGGAGAAGCCCCAGAGCCAGCTGACTGTTCCACCCTGCCTGCTGCTACCCCAGCAAGGTGCAAAGCAAGCAGTTTTCTGGGTGTCCTGCAAGGACCCCGTTTCTGGCACTCTTACTCCTCAGTGCTTCCCTTACCAACAGGGACTAAACAGTCTCTTCTCAACAGCCAAGTTTTCACCTGCGTGGGATGCAGAGGGGGAAAGAAAAGTTTCCCAGGAGGGAAGCACTAAATAAAACTGCAGAACCACGCACATTTCCAACTCAGCTGCTTTCCCCCCAGAGCACAAACCCCAAGCGCTGAGCCCAGGCTGCCGCCGCTTCCCCTCGAACTGACACCAACAGAGCGTGCTTTCCGGGCGTGCGTGCGCCAGCAAAGTTAGCAGAGGCCGCTGTGACCGCTCCCAGCAAAGAGGCCCTCGTTAGAAGTGAAAACAGGCAGCGAGCCTCTGATGAAAGCCCTGAATAATTGAGGAGGGCATAAATGCAAACATTAGGCTTCCCTCTGTCACATTTCATTACTGCAAGGCACATCAGGCTCCGAGCTCAGCTACGGCCGGGAAGGGCCTGTCCCCCTGGAAGGCGGTCAGGGCTCAGCTGCACCCAGCCCCTCGCAGCACGCCGGCTGCTCCTGGCTCGGGCCCCTCCATCGCTCCTCAGCTGACGGCCTCTCGCCAGCACCGCAGACTCCCCCTGCCCCACGGAAGAGCTGCAGGAGCCGGCATGTGCTTGGCAAGAGCAACAAGGCTGCTGCATGAGGTAGGGTCAGCAGAGCCAGACCAACAACCCAAGGGAGGATCGAAAGATGGGTCACAGGAGGGGAGGAATGAATACAAACATCCCCCGGGGTCTGCAACGAAGTCCCTGTGGTGATGTCAGCCCTGGTGACAAAGGGCAGAGCACGGCAGTGCTACTGACAGCGGCCGGGATGGGGGTGTAGGCACCAACCCATCGGGCTGGGACAGCATCTCCCCTCACTGCCTACCTCTGCTCCCCTAGACAGGCTTGGGGATGGGGCTACTGTCCAGCACAGCTGGAATCGGCTCCCCCTGCCCGGGATGGGGGCAGCAGATCCCACGCAGATCTGCCCCACACTACTGCCAGGGCTCGAAAGAAGCATGAACCCTGTCTGCCAGCTGTCCATCTGGCTAGCAACCCTGCTCCCCTGGCCTGGCTGAAATATTCATAACTGCCTCACCGTGTGGTCTCAGCTCCAGCAGAACTCAGGAAAGTTTAGCACGATAAATTATTCAGTGGTAGCTTTATTTTTGGGCCAAGGCACACAAGGATGAGGAAGGAAGTCTCTTCAGGGGCAGAGAGCAGGCAAGTTCTCCTGTCCATCTCTAAGCTGCCAGGAGGAGCACATCTGCTGCTCCTGGCACAGCATATACACAGCAATTTTTAAACTCTAAGCACAGCAATTCTTTCTCCTCTCCTTCCAACCTGGGGATGTTGACCCAAAACGTTGGGGAATCCTTTGGCAGCACTTCCTGCCACACCCCACCACTTCTCACCCCTCCCTAAGAAGCCCCTCTCTGCCACTCAGTCTGCAGCCTAAAAGGGAACTCAGTGCTTCAGGACCTCCTTCAACAGCCCCAGCTGCAGACATCTGTGCTACGGGCACATCTGGAAGCCCCAGCTGTGCCGGGTACTGATTGAATCGGCCCCTCTCTGAAGGACTGGCAACCTACAGCAGCTGAATAGAAGGCAAAGGAGAAGCAAAGCACAAACAAAAGATGTAAAGAAGCAAAATTATTTCTGCACTCCCCGCTTCCGATGTAAAATGTATCTGGGAATCAGGGAGTTCCCAGAGCGGTACTTTCCAGCTATCCAAGTACAATACCCAAGTGTGATGCTTTCCTGGGACAGAAACACACCCTAATGACTTCTTTTTCTCCTGACACACTCAACAGCACTTTTACCTTCTCACCATCACATATATTAGAGCCTTCAGAAACTATTTGTCAAACAGTTATGACCCTGATCCCGGCGGCCTTCCTACGCACAGTCGAAGCCTTAAGGCCAGCAGCACCCCCCCAGCACTGCTGCAAGCAACTGGCAGTCTCATACACCCCGCAACAGACAAACTGGGAAGGTGCTCTGCTCCCAGCCTATATCCTAAAATAGTAGAGGGTGTCCCTGCCCATGGCAGGGGTGGTGGAACTAGATGATCTTTAAGGTCCCTTCCAATCCAAATTATTCTATGATTCCTCAGAGACTAACAGCCTCCCAGCTTGTCTTTGCTTGCTCATCTTGAGGTCTGGCCTCCTCCTCTTTACCTGCAGAGCTTTCTCATCCAGCACTCGGTGCTTGCTCTGAATCTTGTGTCTTGGCCATTTCTGTTTAGCTGGGTCTTCTGCACCAGCAAAAATGGAACTGTACTCCTCCAGTCGCTCAGGGGCTGGGTACTTGGCACTGGAAAATACCTGCGGAGAGACAAGGAGGGGCTGAAAACTCGCAACAACTAAGCAATCCTACACTACAGAAACAGAGTGGAGTAAGCACACAATCTGCGCGGCCGGTGGGAATGGACAGTCGTGGAGTCAACGGGCTCCTAAGGGCTACCTGCATGGACCCAATCACACATGGGCTGTCTCTTCCGAAAGTACAAGTGCCAGAACATACATACACCAGTATTAGGAGATCACAGGCTTCCACTGGCAGGAAGGGAATTTGAAACACTATATTAAATGGAGAAAAAACAGGCAAAGAAGAGTTTTCACCAGTTTTACATGGCTCAACAAGATTAAGATGCACTACGGGGGGCAGCTTTCATTCCAATAGCCAAAGTGTCTATTGCCTCAAGTGAGAGGGTCCTGGGCTTAGCTCAGCACATGCCTTTTCTCATTCTCAGGGAGAGGCTGGGGCAGCAACTTAAACAGGCCTCATAAGGCCATGAGCTGCGTGGCTCGTGAGCCTACAGATCATTAGCTGGCCGAGGCAGGAAGGGGATCCTTATGCTCAGCAGCAGGGCACGGAGAAGTGGGCAGCAGCTGTGGCAGCCAAGCACTCGCTCTTCTCCAGAGCTTGCATTAGGAGTAAAGAGGGGGAGGGAAGAAGGGAGGCCACGAAGCCTTCACAGAAGTCACTACCTTAATAGCCTTCTTGCTGCCCTTTATCTTCTCAATCTTCGCTTGGGCGAGTGTGACTCTCTCACCGATTGCCTGAAGCTGTGCCCGGCTGGCCTCCACCCGCTGAGAGATCCTAGGAGACAAGCACCTTTCTTAAGGTGAAGAATCCACAGCCAGAGACTTCTTTTTAACAACCAGCGCCCAGGCCCTCAGGGAAGGCCGTGAATCTCGGTGGCCTGGATTGTTTCCTAGGGCAAAATAGTGCTGGTTGAGATAAGCTTGTCTTGGTCCCATGGAGAGCTTTGTGTGCTCTGACACAAAGGCAGGCCCAGTGCATGGCTCACGGCACAGCGTTCCCGCGGCTGTTTGAGGCACAGCGCAGAAAGGAGAACTGGAGGTTTTCTGCAACACCGGCGTGCCACAAGCCCTTCTCTGCAGGTGCTGCTGACCAGAAAGTCACAGCCAGTTATCAACTGCCCAAGTATGTTAAAAAATGACTTGTTACAAATGAAAGGCAACACAGGCTAATGAGCAGAGTGCAGGACTCACACAGCCTACCCCATCCTCTGCTATACCAGCAGTTTGTTGCACGACTTCTTCCATGTTGCTTCACAGCTTTGTGATTTGGTTTCCCCATCCGTTAAGCAACATTAGGCCCTCGTTTGGAGCAATAAAGCATGCTAACTTGCCAAATTTTTGCGTAACTAGATCAGCAGCAAAATGCTTTGGGACTGAGGTGAAAAGCACTCCAGCAGCAGGGAACAGTGGTCACTTGCTAAGTACCTCTGCGTTCACCACAGGACATACTCCTTTCCCCTAAAGCTTATGGCAGACGTCCTGCATCCAGGGGCACTACTGAAACGGAGAGCATGCCGTGCACAGTCACAGCCGTGCTGCAGGAACGGTCACACAGACTCAGCCAGAGGCTAGGAGGGGCAAGACCAGTCACCAGCCACGGGTAAGTGTGGAGCCACCTCCTCAGGGGACCTTCCCTCCCTCCCCATGCACAACCACCACGTTCTCGCCAGCTTCACGATGGAGAGCTGAGAATTGTTCTGTATCTTCACCCCCCGTAATGAAACCAGCAAAGAGTGTACTTTTACAGCTATACAACCCATTAGGAGGGACAGAACTCCACCTCAGCAATGTTCTGTAGCAACGAGTTCCAGCAGGATCATTTTGTACCTGTAAAGATCAATCTCAGGCATTGTCTTTAAATTGCACCAGAAGTCCCTCTTTGAGAGCTCCCATTCCCCCCCCAAAAAAAAAAACTCTCTATAATTCCTTTTAGTAACAAATTTGACATCAGCAGTGATCCATGATTCCCCATTTTCAACCTGTACCGAATCTGTCTCCTCAAGTATTTTCACTCTGTGCAGCACATTCCCTGTTACAGTAATGGAGTTTGCTAACCCCCCCACCCAGCAGGTAGTGAAAAACCAGCACGTCCAGGCAGCCTGTTCACCTTCTTTCTCCAAACAGCCTGAAGCGTTTCTGTTTGTTGACAGCCATGCTCCCCTCTTTCTGAAGGCATGAAAATCCTTCCATATGTGTATGGCAGGAGAGCACACAGCCTGTTTCTGCTTTATTCTTTCTGGAGTGGGAGATGAGCAAAACCGAACCTCATGAGAGTCTCCCCCTCGGAATTATTCTCCATTTCCCCATCCTTTTCTTTTAAACACAGCCTAACAGCTTGTATTTTGTACTAAGTACAAATCTGTCCATGATTTCCTTCCCACACCCTCCCTCTGTCTCAGCGGAGTAAGTCCGCAACACTTACGCACTTGGTAGGTTTTCGGAGTAGTTTCTGTGCGCTTCCCAGCACCTGTCTGCAGGAAACCCCACGTGACACAGGGCTGTCCCTCTGCCTTGTGCCCTTACGGCGTGAGATGCCTCTGAAGGACCAAGGTCTTCCCTAACTGCTCTCCCAGCAAATTTTCCCACCTCACAGTTCACCTCTTTTCTAGACGTTTCATAATTGTATTGATTGACACTATTTCCAGCGCTGCTTCTGGGGGCATCGGACTATTTTTACTTCCTTCAAAGCTGAAAAAATTGGTCATTTATTTCTGCTTTGCCTCTCTCCCTCAAATCAATGATGCAATTTTCCCTCTCACCTGCGAGTAGCCCTCTGACCTAGAAGAGCTGAACAAAGCCTTCCTGAAGCTCCAAATAAAAGCAAGATATTAATTGCCTTTTAGCCAGTACCCTGCTGACACCCAGACGCAATTCTCAGGGGCTGACCAGGCACATGCTCCTCACCCAGAAGGAAGTGTTAAGCAAGTAGTTGTGCGAGCTCAGGCCCAGAAACTAGTAACCTCCTCCACTCTCCCACTCCATGAATGCGAGTGGGTTGAGTGAGGCAGTCAGATGCTTCCCTCACTCCTGTTCCTGCCCCCCAAACCCTCCCCGTTATCCCTGCTGCTTCACCAGGTATCACCTCTTCCCCTCCCTTCCCACACTCACTTCACTAGCTGTGAAGCTGCAAAGGAGTTTTTGAGGCATCCCGGTTATCCTTACCTCTCACCCTTACCCACTTCCACATTCACCCTCTAAGACACGTGGTTTAGGAGAGGAATGGTGCCCCAGCTCCCTTTCCACGCCCTCCCCAAACACAGGCAGTGCATTGGCTATTACAAAGTACTTCTTGGCACCGGAGTGCCAACACCTCCCACGGCACACGGACAGCTTCAGGGGAAGAAGAGAAAGCCAAGCACCTCTCAGCCCACGGCACTGCATACGTCTTTCTCATTTACAGTTTGCTGGAACCTCTCTGAAAAAGGAGGCATCCCTAAAACCAGAGGAGGACTGGCAAGTACTGTGCCCCAGCTGCCCCAGTAACAGTGCCTCCAGACGGGGAAGGGGGAAGGTACCTATAGCTTCATGCATCCCTACTGCTCACTAAATATAGCTGAGAGGGATTACACAGGAGGACAGTGTCAGGCAGACTGCCTGGGAAAGTTGTCCAGTGTCACCTCAGGAGTTTCAAACCATGATGGTTTCTCTGAGGCACCCTGTACCTTCCCCCATGATCACCAACTCTAGGATCTGCCAGGCCAAACCCCACTGACCACAGGAGATATGCCAAAAACCTTGGGTACAGATGCAGGCACACAACACAGAAGGAATACACATCACTCTACAAATTAATTTATTTGTTGTTAAGCAAGATAACTATAAAAAAAGAATTGTTAAATCCCCTCAAATCCAACTAATCCAAATTCCATCACATGCACAGGCTCCTAGAAGTGCAGGGCTGTTAGGCATGTGCAGTTCAAGATACAGCTGCACGTGTCAGTTAAGAGACAATACACCGTATTGATACTGAAAACAATAGGCAGGGAAACCCCTCCTCATGTTCAAGGGTCCTCCAGCAACCTTCGCGTTTCTACTGCTGTGGCAACTGAACTTACTCCAAGGAGTCAACCTGGTGTTTGTAAAGAAAGGAAACATGAAGGGATGGAGAGGGCTGTTGCCAAGGGTTTCAGGGGCAAGGTGTTTGAAGGAAGGTGGCATTCAGACCTCAACCTCCACTTCAGGAGCGTGTTACTGAGCAGCCTTTGGCTGAAAGCAACTGCCATCAGGGCAGGAGTGGTACGTGTTAATAAACTGGCCCATTACAGCCTCTCAGAACCCTGCGCTCAGACAGCCAAACCCACCACTGGCATCCTGAACCTACCCCGCGCCCATCCTACAGTCACCGCTGCATTACTTTGCTCTCGGTGCTCTTTTCTGCTTGAGAAACCCCTTCAGTCAGATTCAATGCGACTGGGGAGTCTCAAAGAAGCGGGAGGTGCAGGGCAACAGACCCTCCCTTCGGGGCAGGATGCATGCTGGGGCGCAGGATGCTTCAGGACAAGTGAGAAGGGGGACCACAGAAGAAAGAGGAATGCATCACCTGCCTTCAAATCCTGGGCACTGAGCCAAACCAGCCTCCCCCTCTCAATGCTCTTCTTTGGGGTAGTAATACATGTAGCAGATTAAATCTATCTAGTGGATTATCTTTTAATCCATACAGACTTTTATTTTTAATCTAAGCAGATATTAAAGCCAATCTTTCAGCTGCTTTGATTCAAGCTTCCACATTCTCTTGTCCCTCTGAAATCTTTCTGCAGCCAAGCCCCCTGCACCTCACCCCCAACATTTCAATCTTGCTTCTCCATTCCCCTAAAGCTCGCATCCTGCTACCTTGAGCTCTTCTCCATTTGTGGGGCAACTCTCCAAAACACACAGCAGGTCCCAGGAATGCTTCCTCCCACCTCACCAGCTCCCTCCCTGGCCCCATACCCTCTGTCCCACCCGCAGCCATAGAGCAGATCACTTCTGTTAACTCCTTGTAACTCCTTGGGTAATCCTCACGTTCGGGTGGCTACTGAAAGACCCTCTCTGCCGTGTCTGTCTCTGCTGATGGGGAAAACACCACTGCTCTCTCACTCCCATAGGAAAATGCCTAACTTTGAGGCATTAGGAATTTGGCATCCAGGATACTGGACGGTGCCTGTCAGTTGTCAGCACTAGCAATATATAATATTTCTATGAGAGTCTCCAAGCACTCCACAATGCCAAAACAGAATTGTGATTTTTATCATCTCTATTTGCTAGGGATCAGACAGCATCATAAGAAAGTTCAAAATGAGAGCAGGTTTAAAGATAGGCTGACAGATTCCCAGAAAGGTGGCTGAGCCCGACAGAATTCAGCTGGAGGGAAGCATCACAGCAGAAGGAGACCTTCTGCTGTCCACGTACACATCACCCAAAAGGGACAGGGATAACAAAACTTGGGAATCAGGAGAGAGGAGAGACAAGCTCCACATCAAGGTGAATGAGAAAGGCGAGGCAGCAGAGGCTGGGAGCAAACCCCTCTAGAATACCAAAGAACTTCAATTTCATGTCTGAAGTAGAAAAGTGAGTGATCAACCAAGGAGAAAGAACATTACGGAGCAGAATGAGAAATGAAGTTGCACAGGAGGATAAGGCAGACAAAGTATTAAATGACTTTTTCCTTAAAGGAGGACTGCAGACATCGCAGCTAGTCAAGCTTCTGGTCTCCTCCCAGCCCAGGCTCCAGCCCTGAGAGATAGCAGGGGGATGGCTCAGCACTGCTGTTCTGAACTTCAGGGTACATACAGCAAA